TTCTAGCTCAAAATTCAAAGTGACACTTGTGCGTTCAAAATCAAAAGAATTTTTCATAAAAGAACACGTACATGCAGGCTCGCGTCTGGTCTATGACGCTGTCGTTGCAGGATGGATTTCGCAATAATTTAGCATAAATGTACAAAACATGATATAAGATTGATATAATACAAAAAATCATACGCAATAGTCAAGTTTTGAGCATGGAGGTAAAGGTCATACCCCGTACATCCAACGTCATAATATTATTTTGAATAGATGGTTGTGTCCGTCCATGAATTTTGAAATAATTATGTACAAATAGTTGGCATATTGAGAGAATGTGTCTTACGCTAAAACAAGGTTTGTAGCTAAAAAGTCAAGGTAGCACATAACTTTAAATGAAACTTTTTATTAAAGCGTACTGAAATTCTCATCTGGTCAACAATATAAACTTTTATAGCAACAAAACTTGATTTGTTTATTTGTTCATATATCTTTGAAATTGTGTTTTAAATTAAGATATTATTTATAATAATTATATCCCCAAAAACACGTCGGGTACTTGTTTGAACTGTTGGAAATGATGTACCATTCTTGATTCTGTGAAAAGCTAAGTCTGTTTTACTGACCTGCGTTTATAATATATGCCTTCTACAATACGTGTACTTTCTACAAAAAGAACAACAAAAACAGTAAGTTTTAATTGAGTATTTTTGTAGCTTGAACATAAACCCCGGCGTCCTATGTATTCGTATTGGAATAGATACGTTACAAGATAAGTTGAACTTTAGAGGTTTAGAAATTGTAACATTATATTACAAAAAAATCTTTTGCAATATTTTTGTATAATATTTACTTTCTTTTTACTAGTACTTAAAACTTCGTAGTTGTCTTAACATTTTGATGTACAATGTAACAGTTTTGTCGTTTTGAAGCAGTTTGATGGTATCCAATATTCCAAAGCTCAATCTTGAATTTGAAATAAAAAATCACAAACACAACAACAACAAACAACGGCGCTGTTGTTATTACCGACGCGGTGGCATTGACATCAATTTTGGATTTATTTAAAACATTTTGGTTAAGCTTTCCGCTTAGCAATTTGTGAGCGACCAGACTCGAGCCACGAGCACTGTACGTGAGAATACATTGAAAGGATCGACCTGGACATACAACAAGAGATACAACAAGAGATAACACTTTAAAAACTCGATACTGTCCTTATCAGCCATATTTCCTTCACAAGATACCTTGAAAATCGCCATTAATTATGATTTATATAATAGAAGATTTTAAGATGTTATGATTTTATTGATAAAAAATAACGATTACGCCAGATTTGCACCCTTGCGTTATCAGTACTGTATGTATGTACATGAAAATATTACAAGAGCATATAATGAATTTTAAAAAAAATGTAATTATTGTTTCATAGTTATTAGTCGACTATAGTTTTCTTAGTGTGTCATCAAATCAATTCATTAGATAAAGGCTTGCAGGCATTTTTATGTACTTACACACTAAAACACGAAAACTCGAAGGAACGAAAAGGCTTAGGTCCGTATTCAGAAACGATACTTAATCTCATCTCGACTCAAACTCACGAAAGGTCGCCTCAAGTAACGCTGGAGGAGACTTACGGTAAGTAACTCACAATGTGCAAAGTGGTATTCACCTTACCTCTCGTAAGGGAGACTTCAAAAGTTGACTGAACGGTTTTATTGCATAACATCACTCGATATACATTGGAAAAGTGTAACCATGTCGTTTAAAAGAGTGTATTTCACCTAATACAAAATACAAAGAATACAAATAATTAATTATTAAAAATCTTAATGTAAAAGAAAGAAAAAACGATTTTAAGTAAATGTTCGATAAAACAATAGAATGAAAGCCTGAGGAGAAATTTAAAGAGAATTTAATAGTTTTCAAGTAGTAAATGCCAAAGTGGCAAAATAATGCTGGAAAACCTGAAAGACAGGACAAAAAAAAGAAGTTAAAGAAAGTAGTGAAAGACTTATAACAGGCATTTAGAACTGTTTCCTTTCTTTAATCATCTTATGACATTTTAAAGGCCATTATGCCTCAGAAATTCTATCAATTTTATTTCTCAAAATTTCAACTTGTGCAAAGGGTATAATCATATTGCATTATCATTTTATATGGATGTCAAAAAACTACATTGTTTACATTTTTCTACCATCATAACACATTACTGCTTGTTCAGTGCAACTTTAAATAGTTTTTAATTATTTTTCTAAAGAATTAAAATAGAAAGATTCATAACGTGCCTTTAACAAGACTGTTTTATTTCAATCTTTGTCGTTGATATTTGCAAATATATAATCCTAATCTTTTTTAATTTTTTGATTCAAATTCAATGATTTTGTACCTAACCCCCCACCCAAAAAAAAAGAAACAAACAAAACAACCCTTTATGATTGTGATGCTGGAATACCTAACGACTGAAGCGGTAAATCATTATTCAGCTGTTATTAAAGTTACAAACTGGATCTAAGTAATGAAACACCCTACTCGTTTAGTAAAGTGTATTTTACATAAATCATGCTAAACAAATGTTCAAGATATTGTTTTGCTACGTGGATTTTGATTGTTGTTTTTTAATTAAAATACTCAGACGTCAACGCTAACTTTATGCCATGGTTATTCATCACGTCATGAAGATATGTTTCTTAAAATATTTGCTTTGAAATATCTTCAAATATATAGATTAGGAATTCTATGCCAATCCAAAAATTCAAACAGTGTGATATAACTTGTATCTAACTGTAATTCATATGCCTATATTTAGACGCATACGACAAATCATCCGAGGACTTCCCAGAATCATTGATGGCCACATTGACAAACACAGGAACAGTCATTTTCATGGATAAATTGAAATTCAAGAAGTTTCCAATTTGAAATCATATAAATTAATTTCTTTTGGCATTCGTACTGTTATCCCGCGAGCTGAATACACTCTTAATAGTGTGTACTACTTGTATCACACTGGGTACACCCCTTTGAAAAATCAAAATTTTTGATAAAATTAAATTTAATGGGATCATCTCAATCCCGAAGTATCTGTTTTTCAACATTTATTTTCTAAAATACTGTCAGTTCGCGTATTTGATGCACTAAAATGTAAATGGGGCGAAATTTATTCAAAATCAATACTCAAAGGTAAGTGGTATTCAGTATTATTTTATTGAGGACACCTCAAGGTAGCCCATTCCTTATCTCACAGATTCTCAACTTTCCTGAGTTCACTCGACACTTACTTTATAACCTGAATACCACCTTACTGAAAGGTGAGGACTGTCTTGACCGTTAGGCAATTATATGGGATTTACTCATTGAGTGTGAGTGAAAGTATCGATTCTGAATACGGGCCTAAGACACGATGACGAAAACGCAATAATTATGCTTCCCCTTCAAAGAAGTGGGGGTAAAGTATGGTGGCTTATTTGGTACGCTTTTGTGCGTCTAGTTGGCGCGTTGTCGTACTGTCGTCTTGTCGTCCTGTCGCTAGCGACAACGCGTCAAAACGCCAAACGGCGCGTTGTCGCACTGTCGTCCTGTCTCTAGGGCGGCACGCCAAACGGCGCGATGTCATGCGGCGCGTTGTCGCGATGTCGCCCTGTTATAAGCGATGTCGCTTATAAGCCAATCTGAGCAAAAGTAAAAGCAGGCTCTTTCGGCCCAGTATCTTAAAGATATTTCTTGTTTCTACTTTTTATGTAGATAATAGTTTTTCAATGTTAATATGCAGTCTCAAAACACTTGTTACTATGTATAGTAACAAAATCGCCAATGATTTCGACTAATTATGAGAGTCACGTGACCGATAATGAGTTTGCTGCCCCGGGCTGAGAACTCATTATCAGCTCGCTGAACATGTGCACGTGCACAAACTGAAACAATGACGTTATATTTAACTGTAAAATTGAAAGAAGTTTTTTTTAGCACGAATCGCTTGATTTTATTATGAGAGCTTTAGCGTATTTCGTACAAACACTGTCTTTTAACTATTGAAATTTAAAGAAATAATACGACAAAGTCATTCCGGAAAAAAAAATTAAACTTGCTTCTAGATTCTAGTGTACTTTGTACATCCAAAAGTAAACAACTCTGTAGAAGCTACTGTACTGGTACCGTTGAAATACAGACAGGAATTTAACGAATGGAATATCATTTTTTTTTTTTTTTAGAAAAAATGCTTCTATTACTATTAGATCTACCCAGTGTATTAAAGACATTAATACACGTCATAGTTTTGCCAGAGGGTTATAATCGGCCCTGAATTGAATACTAGTAATGCCCTCGGGGCCATTATTCATTTTGCGGACCGATTATCACCTTCCGGCCCTACTCTGCCGTCAGTCTAATGCTTTTAACGAAAACGCTAAACAACAATTTTGCTTCAATGGGAAAACTCGAGTTTGGGTAATTCCAGTATTTTTCGTCATTTTCTGTTAATTAAATATAAATCACAGACCGATATTAGAAACAGAAACGGGATATGTATAGATCTGATTTGTGTTTCATTTTGTTCTTCAGTTAGTTGAAGGTGGCCAGTATATTGGAAGAAGAAGAAGAAAAGGAAAGGTGATGGAAACTAAACATATTACGCTTGTGTAACACTATAAAACAAAATCGGACACGTCAGAAAGATAAACTAGTTAAACTTCATGACAATTGCTATTTCAGGAATACATAGGTTTTCCCATTTTTATTAAATAAAACATTACTCATATACTATTTTTTAAGCCAGCAAATCTTAAAATACAGTTAGAGGAGGCTAATGTTTATTTTAGAATATGTATACATGTGTTATTTCGGTTGTCTCTTTGTAGAGCTACACATGACTACGATAAAGCAATCATTATTTTGATAGCTGGATATACATGTATAAAAGAACGCAGAACAATATGAAGAAACCACCAAAGACTTTTAAAACGTCCTTTATTATTCTTTAATGAAAGAGTCAGGAAAAGAAAATAAAGTAAAAAAAATCTGATTATTGTAAGTGTGCATATAATCTAGTAAAGAATCAAAGAAACATAAATATATCAATAAATATAATATACATTACATGTTTTAACAAAAACGAGATAAACGATACAAGTTTTTTATACACATGTATATGGAAAAATAACTTTTATTGCACTTCATCTATAGAAAATTGCGAACATAAAACTCACAAGCAAATAATTATGTTCCTTTTAAAAAAAATTTCGTAAAGAAACATTGTGTGAAACCAAAACGTTTTGTTTGTACATTTGTATTATATTTTTGTCAATGCTGTTTGAATTTTTACTTTCAGAAAACAGTAATTCGGTGAAACATTCTGCTGAGTGCATACATGATTTCCAGCTTTATAATGTTATTGTTATGTGCAGTTATTTCGACAGCCAGGACATAGTGCGATCTTTATCTGACATCACTTCACCTCTCCCATTTGTTGTCGCTATACTGCCATCCTTTTTCAGAAAGACCAGTGTTGGAATCCCCGAAACACCAAATTTCTGTGCCAATTCGTTCTGAAATAAAAACGAAAATAAAGTGAATATAGCCTTAAAACAACGACTGGTTTAAGGCACATAGGGCCTTAGAAACGATGTTTTCTTCATAGAAAGGACAGCCATGGTTTGATTTTAAATAACGATTTAATAATGTTTTTGGAGCATGTTATATGCTTATCACCTGAAGTAAGAAGCACTAAATGTGAAATTATTTGTCATAAAAGTAACAAAATGTAAATAAAATAGTATTTTGATTCCATATACAATTTTATAACAATAATTTTACTGAGTGCAAAATACAACAGACGCAAGAAATGGCTCAGAAAATAGGTCAATGTGTAACTTTTTGGAAACATAAACAGGACGTCAAACATAATAACGTTTCGAAAAATAAATAAAATTTCTGGGGGTATAATTGGCCTTTAAAATAGCATCAAACCACGTTAAACATTATATGAGCACTAGCTATGACGAAGCTTTGCAAACATACCATAAGGGAGCCAGGCAAGTGCGCATAATTCCTTACAGACTAACCATGACATTATTAATTTGGTCTAGCTGTTAATGTTTAGCAAGTTTTTACAATCACTTAAATTGACAAAACATAATATAAGATTTTGTGTTGGGGATGGTAGAAAGGTTTTGTTTTATTCTCAAAATTCCCTGTATATAGTCCTCATTTCTTATCAATAAATAATTCATTTTATTTCATTAAATATATTCAAATATCGTATTTACATTCACTTGAAAAACAACAACATAATCTTATCAAATAAGACTCACTTTTGTTTCTCGGTGCCTGAAATCCAAAGCTAGCCATGGCATTTCTGCAAAATATTCCTTGAAGGCAGTCTCGTCTTTGTCAGAACTGATAAAAATTATCTCTAACGTCCGGTTTTTTGCTTTAAGGTCGTTGTAGTATTTGGCAAGTTCAGGTGTGAAACCCCGACAAGGCGGACACCAATGTGCAGAAAAATACAAGCCTGTAAAATTAGAAGAAAAGCATCATCTATATTCAATAGTAGATAATAATAAGTTTTACCGCATATTTCGCTATTGAATAGAAACACAGTAGATCTAGCCGTAAATTTTAAATTCTTGTAGTGTTTTTTTTTCTTTTTTTGCCAAATAATTAAATTATTCATCTATGAACGCAGTAAGCCATTCATTAAGCTAAACTTACTGAATGATTTAGAATGGCAAAACTATAGGGTTATCTATTGATGATAGTTAGGAATGATTAAATATCGTATTATTTGGTAATAATGACCTAAGACAATTGAATATTCAATGACCTTTTGTCTTCGAAGTGAACATTACTGATTCTCATGTAGGCACAACTGTATACATACCACTTGCCTAACAGACAAGGTATAAGACTTTTAGTTCAAATTGAATGTTGTAGAAACATCTTTTATAAATATACATGTATATTATTTAATATTCTTATCATATCTTGAATAATTCAACCGTTATGCTTTTATGGATGCGAATCATTGTACGACTACACATATTTGAAGTTATGAAATGCAAAAAAAAGTATTTAGGCCTATTTATTAAAGTTACGAAAATTGAAACAAAAAATTAAACACAGGAATGTCTCAAGTAATTTTGCGTATGATTTAAAGAAAGAAAAAAATAGTCTAAGAAATAAAAAAACGAACTAGGTGATTACTATTCCGTTATATGAACCACTAGGCCATAGAACCATTATTATATTAATTTTATCGAGAATTAAAACCGTACCGTACGAAAACCCTCCCAAAAATTAATCAGTCTCAGGTTAATATTGCCAAACAATATGTTTACTGATCATAAGTTCATAACTGAATTCCTTCTGAGCAGTCGTGTGAAAAATTGTAAATAAAATCTGTAATCGTACGTACTTTATGATATTATAGTAGTGTGTATTCATTTCAGTCTCATCTTTACATGTATACATAAAAATATATATATAAATCATAAAACACAAACATAGGATACATGAAAAGCCGCTCTAACAGAATTACAAGAGACTATTTACTTTTTCCTTATATATTACGTTTTACAAAAAAAAGTAGAGCAAGTTATTTTGGTGCACTGACCAGTACATACCTAAAATAATCTTAATTGCTATGTATACTCGGACCTTTGTTATTATTATTACTATATTTCATTATCCCACGAATTGGAGAACATAACATATTTACATAGTATATAATGTAATACAACAGATGAGAATATTATACATATCCGTTGTATTGAGTATATTATAATAAAAAAGATACAATAAGTCAATAACAGATGAAATTCTTTTACAATTTTGTAAAACAATGACTTATCGGCGTATATTGTTGTCTTAAGCGAAAGCGAAAGTTAAGACCCTGTTTGAAATCATTCAATTAAAACATGAACATTGACCAGTATAGTCATCCTAGATGACAAAAAAAGCAAAGCTACTAAATCCCGAACCTATAACCGAACACCAAAGATTTGATACGTTATAAAGACCGTTACAATAGAATGATCGGACACAGTTTGTCCCATACTGTTTGATAAATACTTAAGATGTATCATTCATTAATATGTATACGTAGCATGTAAAGATGTTTAATCAATCAATTATTATTATGATCACAAGTATAGAATATATCGATCTTCAACTACGGACGCTAACATTTTTACATTATGTATTCTGTTAATAAACAGTGAAACTCACCTATTACTTCATGATCCTCCGGTTTAAATGCGACAGATTCACCGCCAGCTTTCACGACTTTACCACCGTCGAAATATGTTCCAAAGTTTAAAGCCATTTTCACTTAGTAAATGTTGCAAAGATATGCCAAGTTTCAGACGGAAGATGTTTTTATATATCATTGAACGTCAAAGCTAAAAATAGCGTACACGTGGTCAGTCTATTTATAGCTATTATACTACACTGTACCACACTAAAATCGCTGTTCGCTTTCTTGTATATTGCTATATTGTATCGAACAATATACAATAATTATATTATGTATTGTGTATTATTTGTCATCTATGATTCATTTTAACCCCGATTTATGGGAGTTTTTAATTGTATGTCAAGTTTATTTTTCAGTTTTTTAACAATCTAAAGTAAAAAACGTAATGTTTATTCTCATCATCATAGTTATCAATTGAAGCAATGTAAGAATTTTACCCCAAGATTCAAGCAATCTTGTACAAATGTAACGTTACTCTTTAAAAAACATAATACATAATCATGTTAAAGTTCTTCCCATTTAGATATTTAGATATCAGATAAAATAATGTAACTATATAATAAATCTATGTTGATATATAATGTAATGTGTATACCAAAATGCACATTATTTAAATATTGTTCATATGTATACATGATTCAAGTAATCGATGACCCAGACCTACACCTCCAATTACTGGTGACGGGGTAGATAAAACAGGGTTACCCAGTCGGGGCCTCAGAAGTATGTTATTCATATCAAGTTATTCGCCGAAACAAGAAAACAAATTATTAGTAGATTTCATCGAACGTTTAGGCATGTTAGTAAGAATTTTATTTATAGTATCGACTAATGTTCCAGAAAAGGCTTAATGATCTGTCATGGATGGCAAATAAACTAATTTCGCAAAATCGTCAGTGTTTAAAATAGAACAAATATTGGGTGATGTGTAAGCGACTTTGGGCAGTTTTTCAAGTGCGATGATTTAGTATATTTTGCCATATTTTGAGTAATAGGAAACTTTAACATCATGTATATTGTAAATATTTATACAGTCCGTAAACTATAAATATAGTACCTTTCTTAAGTTTGATCGTTTGTTCGTTTAATGCGTTTTCTATCTGGATGTCTGTATCTTTAAGACTAATATTGAAGTTGTTTGACATGTTGTCTTAAATTCGGATAAATTTGGAGTTCTTGGTGCACAAAGTTTGAATGAATTCACACATGACACGCAGATTTTACCTTGTTTTCATGCTTTTTTGTCAATTTGTTTACACATTTTAAATTCATGTATCATTATCTTAAGAATTACTTTAAATGGAAACTTTTTTTTATTCCGGGAAGACAGGCCTGTATTAAAAGACCCTGCTTGTTTCGTGTATCATTATTTTAGGCCCACATTTTTTTATTCAGGGTAGACAGGCCTGTATCACCCGAAACTGATTGCTTCGTGTATCATTATTTTAAGAATTACTTTAAATGATAAATTAACACCTATACAAAAAAGTTTATTTTCCTGGTAGACAGAGCGGTGTCACCCGTAACTGCTTGTTTTCTGTTTAAATATGTAGTTACAACCATAACCACTTAATAAATATGCTTTGATAAATTTAAAGGGAATAGAGTTTTACATGCCTAGTGAACGGGAACATATCCATATCATTCTCTCATAACAATTCATTCAAATGACAATAAATATAGCATTTTTATAGTGAAGTAAAATGTAAATTACAAGACTCATCTTACGCTTATTCATACCATCATATTCACACTGCGGTATACCGTACCCCGGATATTGCTCGATATAATGAGGACTTTCATCCAATTTCGCGACTTTGAACTGGTTTGATATAAATTGTATAGAAAAACAAATACTTCGATAATTTCTCTAGTTATTGAAAACCCAAAAATGTTGAGAAATAGCTTTGAAATGTAATAAGGAGGTAAAATTCGTCTCTTTGCTCACGTGATAAATGAGCTCGGATCAGTCGAATTTGATTTTTTTGTGCATATACTACCTTAAAAGAAAAACTTGAATCGAGTGAAATGTGATAATGATGATAATGTTTATGTTGTAAATGTTCAATCAACAAAAGAACCTCAGATGACAGTGCGTTTTGAGAATAAATACACATGTCAGTGTGCCGAGTATTGCGCTGGAGTTGCCCGCCGGTGTCACGAGTATTGCTTTTTAGTGTAACGAGTATTGGTTATAAATGCAAGTAGTAAACACAGAGTATTTCCTTCATTTAATCTTAAATATTTCTTATTGTGTATACTTATTTACACTATATGTGCAGAATAGGCAGAATTCGGGGGTACTTTACTGGAAACATCTGCGAATAATCCAGATTTTCATTCCTGCTCATGAAAAATCTCAGTCGAACGAACTCAGCAATTTTCTGTGTTTACAAAGTTCTCGTTGCTATCAAATGATCAACCTTTCCAGAATTTGTTAATAATTATTGCATATCTTACTTTAAATAGTAAAAAAATGCATCCAAAGTGCATTAATGCTGCCTCAAGATTGTCAATATTAGACGGTATTGAGCAAGTGTTTGTCACGGTTCAGAACTGTTCACTTATTCAGTTCTGAACCGTGACATGTGCCAATATCCAATATCAACCGACTTCCTACTATGCAAAAAATCCATATAAAGGTAAATTTCGGTCATTTTGCACCTGCACTCTAGCAACGGCAGGCCGTCTGCACGTGAAATTTGTTACGTCATTAGCAATGAGTTACCGTTTGACTGCCGAGCGGTACAGCTCAAAAAACCAAATAATTGATTTAAATAAGACTATGATAAAGGACAGAAGATGCAATAAAAAGGCTATGTTCCTTAAAACCTTTCACATCATAAAGGCGATTTTTGAAGGCTTTACAACCCACCCCTCTTGAGGCCTCAAATAGTGTAAAACATGCGCTATTTAGGCCCAAACACTGTTTTTTTTCGTTTGAGAAAATGTTGTTCAAAACAGTGATCAATTTTTTCAGCGCCACCCCCCATTAAAGAGGTACATCAAGGGGGTGCCACAGGGGGATGTGCCCCCTTCTGTTTGGGGGTTTGAAGTGGGACAGTAGCCCCTCTAATCGCCGAGAAGATTTGGGACTTGTGGGGGGGGGGGGCTAAAATGGCCTCAGGTCGATTTAAAGGTACCGTGTAATCAACGCCGAAAAGCCTTAGACTTTATCTCAATCAATTGAGAAGTTGAAATAGTAACTGGAAATTTAAAATTGAGCATGCTATTCCACAGGCTATGGTCCAGCCAACATTTGTGCCCAGTTTGATCAGTACTAAAGCATTTTTTTTATAGTTTCATAGCAGTTTGAACTTGTAACAGGAGGCTTAATTCAATGAAAACGGCCATTTTTCGCAATATGCTCATGCAGTAAAAGGTTAAGGCATGCTTGGACGGCTTAACCCCGCGGGCCAATAATTTATTAAGTGTGTCAATATGTTTCTTGAGGCAAACATGCCCTGTAAAAACCAATTATTAATGTCATCTAAATATGTTTTTTTATTCTTCTTCTTTTCAGAGATGGGTCTCCTTGATCACAGTTTCTTGAGACATGTATTTAAAGATTTTTATCGTCAATTTTGATGGTTCTACCCTGCTCCCGGCCCTTCTTCGGACCCTGCACACACTTTATTTCATCCATAGTGTGAATTTCAATCAAATGGGAAATTAAATTTCTGTATTTGCCCGTAGAAAAAGAACAGTAATAACACTAAAAATGCATTAATGAATCTGAAATATTTGAATAAATATCATATAAACAGTACATTATCAGCAAAATAAAATGGAATCGATAAACAGACGTAAAAAATAGACAAAAATATCGATTTTCCAAACTAATGTGCTCATTCTGTTTTGCAATACACTGTACACTTAAGTTGGGCTATTTTGCAATACTCTGTACACTTAAAATCAATACTCAGTACACTTTCTTGTATCTTTTTTGGCCTGTATCTTTTTGAACTTTCACACTTTTTGCCTGAAATTTGGACAAAGCATACTTGGATTGTGAATAAAAAAATTGCTCGATTCAATTTTTTTATATTGGTAATATAATAATTTCTAACGATTCTACAGTATCGCGGTCAGTATTTTCTAGTGAGCAGTGGATCGTTTAGGGGTAATTTAATCAATTTTACAAATACCTGTAATACTTTTATGTCTTTTAGAGCTACAAAAATACCTCTAGATATATAAAACCCGTTTAGATAAATGAAATAGCCATTAGTTTGGAAAATATCGTCGCTGAACTTACCTTCGTTCCCCGTTCAAAGTCGCGAAATGGGATGAAAGTCCTCATAATATCGAGCAATATCCGGGGTACGGTATACCGCAGTGATTCAAGTATTGAAATGATATATAAGTAGTCATTGTATTCTATTAACCGTCCGCGCATTTTTTGCGGGACATTGAAAAAAGTGATATTCGGTCGCTAAACTTAATCACATATTTTTGGACATGGTTAAAAAAATAAAAAATAAAAAAGAAGCTAGTTTAGTAGGATATGCATGTATTAATTTTCATGGGAGTGGTAATACATTCTTTTTCGTGCCTTCACATTCGCCTTCTCTACCATAAAGTAAATGTTGGCCCACATAACATTGAAAGTTACATTGTTCCTACCTCACCTTTGGCTCAACACAAAAATATTTCAAACAGCTTGGTTAAAAATAAAATATTAATATTTGTTCAAATGAGATCGAGCCATTGACACGGCGCTGGCGCCATCGGCAATGTGAAAGAGCCCTCAAAAATGTGACGGAGTCAAAACAACCATTTAACAAGTGTCGATATTGTGGAATTATTCCTATTTAAATTCATGGATAGACTATAAGACAATGAGATATCTTTTTCATGTATGTATGTATAATAGGGTTAATGAGGGTCCATCCGCCATTTCCATCACCGAGAGTACGGGTATTTAATTTAGTAATGCACTGAATGATTCTAAATATGTATGCAAGACGATATTTGTGATGATAATATCTTGATGCACAGGAGGTCAATGAGATCACCCACAGGCGCGGAGCTTTTTGTGTTTAATATTTTTTTTTGTCCATTGGGCCGATTTTTATCAATAAATCCCTTCGATTTACAGCTAAAAATAAATTCGGATTCAAGAACTCCTT